TATATATATTACGTGGGAAAAATATAGTGTAAAGTGGAAATTATCTCTTTTTTTTTTTGGTAATCAACATTATGCCACAAGTGCTGTCGATTAAGCTTAACTTGTACTGATTCCTAAATATATCTGAATTATAACCATTTCAAACACATCTATTTCATATGTTGGTATTAAAAAGGGAGTTATACTTTCTCTATTTGTCTTTCCATCTTTTTAGAAGCACTTTGCTTTTGCTTTTCCTCCAGTCTGACTGCCTCCTTTAGTTTGCCTTCTGCAGACAGGAACTCAGTGTAGTACTGGTAATATGTCTTCAAGGTCTGGTTTTCAACAAACACAGGAATGAGATTTGCAGTGACATTTTACAATCCATTAAATGTAAATTCAAGCAAACATCGTTTCTGAAAGAAAAATGTGGCTTGATGAGAGGAATGAAGGGTTAAACTCACTGTATGAAGTTCTGTGGTGACCTTCAGAAGTCCATCCTGTAGCTGGGTGCAAATGTCTCTGCTCTGAAAAATATAAATAACGCAAAAACAGAAAGATAAATGATCATTTTAGCAACTGTGTATTACAATGTCAGGCGAGTGGCAGGTGACTATGCCAAAGGTGTTGTATGTCTGTGCACTGTTTGCAAAGTATCAGTGTAAAGGAAGCCACATGTATATACGTGGGCATGTTTGCTCCTTCAAGTCTTGTAATGTGTGGGTGCTTATTTTTGCAAATGTGGAAGGATGTGAAAATGTGTGTGTTTGTTTGTGTGTGTGTGTGTGTGATGGTGGGTGTGTACCCGCTTGGTCAGGCGTTGGGCATGTTCAGCACAGTGTGAAAGCTGCTGAGGCAGAGTGTTACTGTAGCTGTCACTCAAGAAACTGTGATCTCTGCTCTCCTGCCGTGTTTGTGTCAACAACACCTGCCAGCAGTTAACCACTGACTGATGGCTGGGCTCCTTCCTGAGGGGCAAATTAACAGAGAACTGAGTTATCAAGTTCCTGGTAAGATACATAGCCATACAGGCAAATACGTTTTGCCTAAAATAAAATATATACAGTACTGTTTAAAATTTTGGGTCAGTAAGGTTTTTTTTTTTTATTTTTTTTTTTAAATAAATTAATACTTTTATTGAGAAAGGATGCATTAAATTAATTAAAAGTGACAGTAAAGTCACAGTTAGTAACACTACAATAATTTGTTAACACTGGCTAATGCATTAACTAACATTAACAATGAGCAATACAGTTGTTACAGTGTTTATTAATCTTTGTTAATGGTAGTTAATTAAAATGCAACCGTTCATTCTTAGTTCATGTTAGCTCAGGTACATTAAATAATATTAACAGATACAACTTTTGATTTCAATGTTTTACTAAATGTTGAAATTAACATTAACTAAGATTAATAAATTCTTTAGAAGTATTTTTCATTGTTAGTTCATGTTAACTAATGTAATTAGTTAATTCTTGCTTGAAAGATGTGTTTGGGCTATCTTTCTTTAAAATAAATTGTGACCCTGGACCACAAAACCAGTCATAAAGGTCAATTTATTTATTATTATTTATTTATCAGATTTATACATAATCTGAAAGCCGAATAAATAAGCTTTCCATTGATGTATGGATTGTTAGGACAGGACAATATTTGGCCGAGATACAATTATTTGAAAATCTGGAATCTGAGGGTGCAAAAAAATCAAAATATTGAGAAAATCGCCTTTACAGTTGTCCAAATGAAGTTCTTAGCAATGCATATTACTAATCAAAAATTAAATTTTAATATATTTACAGTAAGAAATTTACAAAATATCTTAATGGAACATGATCTTTACTTAATATCCTAATGATTTTTGGCATAAAAGAAAAATCAATAATTTTGACCCATACAATGTATTTTTGGATATTGCTACAAATATACCCCAGCGACTTAAGACTGGTTTTGTGGTCCAGGGTCACAATTGTTCTTACATGGTTTTTAAGGGTGGCATAAGTGCCCAAATTTTGTCACTATTTGGGGCCATTGTACATAAAAAATGCATTCATAGGTTAAGAACAGTTTTTCATGCATTAATGGTGATTTTTTTTCTTTGCATATCCTCACTTCCTGGTTCTGGAGGAGAACCTGTCACACAGTTTGTCCAGTGAGCGGGCGTACTCCCCCTCGATCTCGCCTCGTCTGCGCAAATAATCGATCAGATCTTGGAACACCTGAGTCTTCTGCTCCACCTGACCGTCAAATATCCTCAACTGCTCGGCCAGCTGCAAACGCACCTCTAGAGAAGAGAAAGAGAGACAGCGCAATTACATTTCTATAGTTCCACTCTGTATATCTGTTTCAATTGACAGGTGTCCAATAACAATTAACTGGAACATGTTGGCTTCACAAAGTTTAACAAGACGGATGGCAATAGATAAACATAAGCTAACAATGACAAATACTTCGAAAGCATCTATTAATCCTAATGTTAATTTCAACATTCAACAACATTTACAAGTTGTATGATATCTGTTAATATTATTTAATGTACCTGAGCTAACATGAACCAAGTATGAACAGTTGTTTTTTTTAATAACTAACTTTAACAAAGATTAGTAAATTGGTTATCTGTGATTTCGGAAGCACATACAAAACTTGCAGCAGAAACTGATCAGCAAATTTCATAGCATTGGAAAGGAATCATTTTGGGTTTCCATTGCTCAGAAATCTTAAAGGGTATTCAATATTAGGACGTCCGTTACCTTTAAACTGTGTGTCATAGTCTGCCGTCCCCACTCTGTCCCTCCACAGTTTGACATGGGATGACATTGTAGCTCCAGCTAGGTGAATGAACAGAAGCCATGTAGAAGGTTAAAGAATGTACTTGAAAAAGATTTTCATTGGCACTTCATGCTTTTAATTGTATATTTTGACCCATTTTGACCAATCTATATGACTCACAGAAATGAGAAACATGTACATTGACTTTCAATGCGGACTAGTCCCAAGATCAATCACAAGATCAAAACTATATTCAAATTTCTTTGGCTTTAAGTTCATTTGGACTATAACAATCACTCAACTTGATTTGTACACCTACTTGTACAATACCACAAGTACTGAGGCAATCAAGCAGCAAGTCTATAAACACTCTCAGCAGTTAACATCATATAAAATGTCTTGTATAATATAAGCAGATTCAAAAGAAAAAGAAAAATTGAGAATTATTAAGCATATATATTCTCCAAAACAACTTCTGCACTCATTCATCTGCTCATTGTAGGAGTGTCCTTATTCAACATGTGACAGCGGTCATTCGTCATGCTATGACCTACAGTCCGGTGGATGTACAATGAACTGTTCAATTTTAGTAAACAAATTGCACATCTAGGGTGTCAAAAAAGGGGAAGGTAGCAGACTTCCTGTGTTAAGAGCAAATCAGACAGCAGCAGCACACTCTCACCATGAGTCATGACAACAGGCTACGCCCTCAGACTCTCTCCTTCTATCATTCTTCACAGGAACTTCCCCATTCACATCCCATGAAAATAACCAAATGCTCACTGAAATAATTGCTTTCAGATCTTCAAATGTTAACAGACATATTCAGAAATTAAACGTGCATGTTTCCCAACAAGCAGCAAATTTTAATACATTTTCTTGGCATATGATTGATCTCTTTCTACTCTTGCTGCTCTTTGCTTAGGTTAAAACTCTGTTTTTCAGAATATTTTTTTTCTGAGGAGTTACTTTAGCAATATGTGTGAAAAAATATGTTTAATATATATTATAAATTATATTTTTTGTATTAACCAAAAGTAACGTATGAAAAAAATGACAAAACAACACGTGCAAATTGACAACTACATAAGCAGCATAAATTTGACACAATAAATCAACAAAATCATGCTATTTTTGCATTTGTACGTAAAACCACAACACTTACCTTAGTATTTCCTGCAGATGTTCACACTGGCATTCTCAATAAATCCTCATAAACAACTTCCACACCCCTTTACTATCGCTTGTCCAAACCAAAGCCCTGAGAAATTGTCTTTCCCTCGCACATAAGCATGGTGAGATACCGAGAAAGACAAGTGTTCTCCTCCTTCCTCACTCGGTCACTGTGTGCTGAGAGTAAGTGTACTGAATGCTGAGTAAAACCTCACATTACTGGCCCCTCCTCCCTCACTGTGCGTTCTCACTTTAACAAACACTATCTTTTCAATTTGGATTCAAACAATCATTTATCTGACAGGCTTTATTTGGGGTTACACACCTCAGTAATGGCTATTGGTCTCCTGTGTCATTCTGAAAGTAAGTGGTGGCTTCCATTGAAGATCTTCCCACACAGGCCAACAAATAATCAAGTGCCTTGACCCTATAATAAGCATTATGACCTTTCTGTTTTCCTCCTACACAAGCTTGTATGGATCAGATTGCATCACATGTCATTTTAGTTCACTTACACAGATGCATTGTTCCTATTTATTTAATCCATTCTAAGGTATGAAGCACAAAACAAGGAAATAAAAACAGAAATGGCGCCTACCTATTACCAAGTTAGTAAATAACTCTGTCGAAATTCACTTTACTATTAAGCATGTTAGGCCTAGCTTCACTTTCACATTCTCACGAACACAGTTCTTTTGCTTATATGTTTTCTTGGTGTTAGTGTGTGAGGACCTATTCATTTCCTTCCTCTCCTGAGTGTCTTATCTGTTTCCCATGATAAATCTAAACGAGTCTGTTTGCCACTGTATTAGACTCATTATTGGAACTATAATTTTTCATTTTATATTTTTGTTTCTCTTTCATTCACTAGAAAAGATACACAGTATGCAACTGGATATTTCTTAAGAACACAGTGTGACAGTTAACCACTGTCAAATACCACAACGGAACCACAAGTGCATTAAAAGTCTATTGTCCTCCTACTGCTGTGCACTATACAACATTAAAAAAAGAATCAAATTGCACTTATAAAAATAACAAGTTACAAGTTATTAGTGGTTTATATTTGTGAAGTTTACCTTCTGCTTGCAAATTTAGAATTCTAATAATAGGATTATGTTAAAAACAAAAACTCTTGTCAAACGTTCTGATCACATGGTTCAGTTTATGACGTAAAAAACAACAAATATGTCTTAATCACATTATATCAAGTACATGGTAGTGTTCCCACTGCAGCAAAACAAACAAACAAACAAAGAAATCTTCAAGTGATCATGACTGTGAAGACTGAAAGTAGAGAAGTTTTCGGAGGAAGTTGAAAGATCCGGGCATTTGTTTATACAGGCCTTTGGCAGATATTTGGGAGACCGCATGGTTTACCTAAAGAAAATAGATCTTTAATACAAACAATTTATTTTAATACAAAAATATTATAATATATACAATTTATAAATATAATTATCTGTGCTTGAAAGTCATACCAAAAAAATATATACATATTACATTGGCATGAATAGTGTCTGTTTTTGCTTAACTAACTAATCTAACTTGAAATATGCGTAGCTTTAATTATTATTTTTTGTTTGGACACAAACCTAAGGCTGCGTTTACACCGCAGGGCTTAATGCACAAATCCGATCTTTTGACCATATCCAACTTTTTGTCCCACCTATTTACACTCACTTAAGTCACGACTCATATCCGATACTTACTGTACATTTACTGTATATGAATCCCTACCTAAACTAGAATGATTCCAATGGTGATCTCATTCAGCAACACAGTTGACCCTTGGGTTTTGAACAGCTGTATATAAAAATTATTTATATAATTTACATGGTTCTTTGACTTTACTGCACACCGGCTGTGATTATGTGGGGCCGCTTATACCATGATCACTTGCCAGCCAGCAGTTAAAGCTGTCATTGATGTTTACAGCGCAAAATTTCACTGAACGGATTAAAAGTTATTTTAACTACAGGTCGTTGGATCTAGAATTCTGCTGTGTGATAAAATAATATTTGTTTGAAAAAAACGGGCAAAAAGAGATTATGCGTGTAAATGACCTGCACCTATGCCACCTCTCTATAGTAAAGCTGTGAGTTTAATTACATAAAAACAGCAAAATTATCATCATGCTGAAAAATATTAATGTAACTATTAGTAGTGAAGATATTTTATTTATAAAATTAGGGGGCAGCGGCTCAAAACAAGTTTGTTTCTGTGTGTGCGTAATCTCTT